TTGTGCAATAGTGGTCTCATACAATATTCATCCTTTTGTAGTTGACTAATTTCACTCAGCATAATGTCCACCAGATTCATCCATGTTATGAGGTGTTTCATAGATTCTTCATTATTCTTTAGTGTTGCTTAATATTCCATTGTGTGTATGTACCAAAGTTCGTTAATCCATTCTTCCATTGATGGGCATTTAGGCTGTCGCCATCTTTTTGCCATTGTAAATAGTGCTCAGATGAACATCAGTGTTCACATACCTACTCATGCTCGTATTTCCTGTGGATATATACCAAGTAGAGGAATTGCTGGATCATATGGTATTTCTATTTTCAACTTTTTGAGGAAGTGCCATTTCATTTTCCACCATATTACAGTCCCACCAGCAATGTCTGAAGGTCCCCACCTCGCCACATCCTCACCAGCTTTTGTTGTTTTCTGTTTTTTTGAACTTTGCTGCCAATGCTGGGGTGAGATAATATCTTGTTGTTTTGGTTTGCTTCTCTCTACTGGTGAATGATTGCAAACATTTCTTCTTATATTTGTTGACCGCCTGAATGCCTTCTTTGGTGAAATGTCTGTTCATGTTCTCTGCCCATGTTTTAATTGGGTTGTTTGTCTTTTTCTTGTAGAGGTGTTTTAGTTTTCTATAAATTTTAGAGATTATTGACTTGTCTGATATGTCATTGCAAAAAATGTTTCACAAGTCTATGGTCTTTCTTAAAAGTTTTATAGCAAAAAAAAAAAAAAAAACCAACCTTTAAATTGGAATTATTTTATGAAAACAGTTTTACTTGTTTTCCTCTGTTTCTGTCTGGTGTCAAGGAGAAAGATAAAACTAGGTGATTATTGGACTTTAAAAGGAAACAGCCTATTGATATTGTTAGATAGAATATGGCTTTTTTATTGCACTTATTGTATCCTTTTTGTTGTTGTTGTTTTACAGGTTTTTATTGTGGATTGAGTGAAAGTTTACAGGGCATATCATCAGTTTTACATTCAACAAATCATACACCTTGTTTCATTACAATGATTATAATCCCCTCCATGTACCATCAGTTAACAGTATTTCTCTCTATTCACTTTAACTTTAAAAAATAAAAACAGAAAACACTCAAGCATATATAATAATTTACACCTCCAAAGGGCACATATTACAAGTCTGCCTCCTGGCCACCAGCTCTTAGTCCCTCTCTTCCCATGAGTCTAGAGTCCCCAGATGTTCCCCCTCTCCATGACTCCATCTCTGCCTCTGTCTCTGGTGTCCTTGTTTCTCTGGATAAGGTCACGCATTCTGCTTGTGTGCTTCCCCTCAATGGTCCTAGGGTCCTCTGTTTCTGTACTGTAAGATTAACTACTCCCCTGTTTTTGTTACAAAACTTCTACTTTACAATTGTGACTGTCGCAATTAGTCATGATAACAATTATTCACTACTGAATTATATGAATCTTTTCCCCATCTCTTTTCACCAGACCTACCTAGACAAGATGAAAACTATTCAGTGGGGACTCTTTCTTTGCCCCAATACTCTTAAACTAAATTCTCTCTTTGTGTCTTTATTGTCCCCTCATTTTAGGTAACTAATGTCCAAGATGCCTGTCTGTATCTATCCTGTGCACAGAGGGGATAGCATTGATACTTGATGTGAAGACTCCATCCCTCTCTGTTGGTATTTAGAGTTACTGCATCCATGAGTATAGATCAGGTTCATCAAATTGTAGCAATTTACCCTTGTTTCCTTTATCCAAAAAAAATATTATTATTATTATTTTGGTAATCTTCCTCTAATCAAGTTCTGATTATCAAGCCATTGAGGCTAGGTCAAATGGATACTGTCTGCAGGTTTGGGTGTTCTTGTGCATCTCCCTTCACTTCATTTCAGCTGGATGCTTCACTCTCAGCTCTAGCCCTCTGTGGCTGTGTCCATGTCCATGGGCTCAAGTGTCCCCTGGTCTCACCAAACTTTGGACCAACTAGCCCTTCCTCTTCTCTCTCTCATCCCCAGGTCAACGGGACTCAATGGACTGGGGTTGAACTCATCCCATTTCTTCCTTGATGGTTTTTCCTCTCTTCCACTCACCTGTAGACCAATGCACTGCCAGCAAGCTTATATGCTTGTTTGTGTGTTTCCTTTAAGTTTCAGTCTTAAAGGAGATTTTTGTCCTGAAGAAACTTGATTACTTGCCTTGATGTCTTCCTGGTGAACAGCTTGTTTATTCTTATAGTAACCAGTCATGCTGTCATTTTTGTTTTGGGTTTTTCCTCATGATCTTTTTTTGAAGATGTATCTTCTTTCACTCTAGCTCTTCCAGTATGTCCTGCTTGTCCTTGCTAGTGGGAAATTTCCCACCTCATAAGGTTCTGGATAGTGTCCGTTGCTGTTCTGATCCTTTGCCCTCTTGGTCTCTCCCAAGATGGCAGCTCCTGGATCAGCTGAATATCTTGAATTAGAAAGCAATAGATTTCTTGCTTCTGTTACCAGTTCCCCTAGCTAAAAGCCTTCCAACCTTCTAAATATTCCTTTACATGTGGTTCTGAGTTCTGTCACCATCCCCTGAGCATGCTTGGTCTGGTATTCTGTGTTGTTGCTGACGGAGCTCCTCACTGCATGTCTACCCTATCCTCCATCTTGTTTGTTCTCCATGTCTTGTCTTCTTAATGACCATTTGCTCTCTTCCTTTATGACATTCTTGATGTCATCCCACAACTCTTCTGGGTTTTGGTCAATGGCATTTAATTCATCAAATTTTTCTTGAGATGATCTTTAAATTCAGGTGAGATATGTTTGAGGTTATATTTTGTCTCTTGTGGACTTGTTTTCATTTTCTTCAGCTTCAGCTTGAAGTTGCATATGAGCAATTGATGGTCTGTTCCATAATCTACCCCTGGCCTTGTTTTGACTGATGATATGAAGATTTTCCACTGTGTTTTTCCACAGATGTAGTCAATTAGATTTCTGTATATTCCATCTGGTGAGGTCCATGTGTATAGTTGTCTTTATGTTGTTTAGAAAAGGTATTTTGAAATGAAGAAGTCATTGGTGTTGTGAAATTCTATCATGTAATCCCCAGCATAGTTTCTATCATCAAGGCCATATTTTCCAACTACTAATCCTTCCTCTTTGTTTCCAACCTTTGCCTTTCAATCACTAAAAATTATCATACATCTTGACTGCATATTTGATTAATTTAAATCCAAAGAAATTGGTATAATTCTTCAATTTCATCATCACTGGCTTTGGTTATTTGTGCATAAAGTTGAATAATAGTGGTATTAACTGTCTTCCTTTTAAGTGGATGGATATTATCCTATCACAGTGTTGTACTTCAACATAGATCTGCATGCAACACCATTCCTCTTCAATTTGTCATTCCTGGTATAGTAAGCCAATGGTTTTCAGATTCAAAATGACCAATACCAGTCCATTTCATCTCACTAATGCGTTGGATATCGACATTTATCCAATCCATTTCATTTTTGACAACGTCCAGCTTTCCTAGGGTTAAACTTGATACATTGCATGTTCTGATTATTAATGGATGTTTACAGCTGTTTCTCCCCATTTTAAGTTCTGCCCCATCAGCAAATGTTAATGTTTCGATCTGTAATTTTACTGATATTTTTTAGTGTGTCTATGTTCTTTTTGTTTGTTTGGCTTTTTTAGTGTGTCTGTGTTGTTGGTTTTAGAGTCCTGGTGTGGCACTATGGGGATAAAGCATTGGTTGTTTTGAACCACATGATTGATGGTTCAAACTTACAAGCTGCTCCTTAGAAATCCTATACAGGGTTGCTATGAGTTGGAACCAACTCTATGGCACTTAACAACACAACATTTGTTGTTTTAGGTGTCATTGAGTTGGTACCAACTCATAGCGTCCTTATGAACAACAGAATGAAAACTTGCCTGGTCCTGTGTGTCTATATATTGTACCAACTAATGGGAAAGGGGGTGCTAAAATGTTCCTATTCTGGAACTTCTCTTTTAATTTTGTCAGTTTTTGCTTCATTCACTGTGATTTTTTTATAGGTTTATACCAGCATACATTTTCATGATGCATACATACATAGCCCCTATGAATTTATTAAGTATATCATTGTAATGCATCTGTCTTAAAATTTATTCTGCTTCCTCTTCATTCCAACTTTCTTAGGCTTACTCTTTCCATGCTATACATTTTCCTGGATCAGTATTTAAGTTAAAGTCTCAGCTTAGAGTTCCTATGTCACATAAGTAGTTTAAAATTTGATATTTATATTCCATTCTCAGTCATAGGCCTGAAATCTCATATGTAAATTTTCCCTGACTAAATGCTGAACAGACTAGGAAGTCCCTCACCATTTCACTGGACTCATGAGTAGAATTTCTCTAGACCTCTTTATAGTAGTGGATGGGGCATCAGACCCTGTTCTTATACAACAATTAGAAATCCAAAACCTAGAACCTGCTCCCTTGGTATTTAGGACTAAAATACACTTGGTGTTTCTATGATGTCAGCTTGAAATTACTAGCTCTTGTACTGCTTTAATTAATCTTTTTTTTTTCTAGTTATAGAAATATTTCTTCCTTTTGAAAAACAAAACAAATCAGAATTAAAGAGCTAAAGTAATTTTAGCTCATAATTCTGGTTTTTAGTTTTGTTTTGTTTTGCATAGGAGCAGGGATAGGCATTCATTTCAGATTTGTATACCTATTTTCCATGGAAGTCTCTCTCTACATTCTAGTTACAGGTTCCTTGAAGAAGAAGGGAGAACTTTAGAATGATATTCTCATCTTGTGATAAAAGCAGAAAGGAGAGAAAAGGAGTGGACAATGTTGGATGACAGCTTACAAAACACCATTCTCTTTAATTCACCAATATTCAAGCCTTACTCTATTCCCCTCTCCCTCCACCCTAAATCCTTCCTCCTAACTTCTCTCCTTTCCAGCACTGCTGGGTAGGCTGAAGGTGGGCTCTCATGATTGCTCTTTTAACCACAGATGACTCCCGTGGCTCTTTTAACTACAGATTACTCCCGTGGCTTTGGTGGCCGTTATGGGGTGGAGACGGATAAAAAGGACAAGGCAGCCCTAGGATATGACTACAAGGGAGAGACAGAGAAACATGAGTCCCAAAGAGGTGAGTAGAGGTTAGA